AGATACAGAATTTGAAGGAAATACATATGCTACAGAACTATCACCCAGAAATTTCTCCCCGATGGTGTGTGTTCTTCCCAACAGATTCACTTCTGTGACAAGGTACTTCACAGCCCAAAATTCACAGTGGGTTCAGCAGGTGAAACTACTGTGAAATACAGCATCGGAACAAATCAAAATCCACATGATCTTCTGCTTTTATACTCTCTCATATGATGTTATTCTGCTGTTTGCCTTCTCTAGAAAAAAGGCCTCTGAAATGCCACCACATCTCTTGGAAGTGGGGTGCACACTGTAGGTGCACCCCACTCATGATAATCCAGTACCACTGACAAGTTCTGAAAGCTGAACTCCATCGAAACTTTACAAGACAGCGTGTGATATTACATTATCAAAAGATAAAGTGAAAGAAGCCAAATTACTGCATTTATAATCATGAGACAAGAACAAGGGTCTCCTATTCTTTCCCACAGTATACTACGAATGCTCAAACATGACACTTCTCTATCCAAGTCATCCTAAGAAAAAAGTCATTTTTATGTGTACTCAATTTATCCCACATCATAAAGCTCATACACTGGAAAAAGCCATGCCCTTGCTTCTGTCAGCAGTTTTGAGGACAAAATTGTTTGATTAAGCCACCTGATTTATATTATTTTATTAAAGAAAATTCTGCGGTTTTACTTCTATTTTTCATAATGAAAACATGTACACCATATTTTGATTTTATTTTGTTTTTCTTTTTGTGAAATTGCTTTTTCTGGCTGACAAAATTCCTGAAGTATAGTGTAAAAGTAAGCACACAAGTAAACTATCTTAAAATAAGAACATAGAAACGAATATGTTTATCTACAGTGCTTCACCAAAAGAAGCATTCTGGAGAAAAAAAAATGGGGGTATAGTCAATTAAAATATCAGTACAAGGACTCCAAAAACCGAGGGAAACAGAGAAAGAACTTCTATATGTTATTATGGGATTTTGAATGTTCCTGATGATTTAAGAGAGCTGCTTTTCACAATAATGTTTCTAGTGAAAAACATCTTTCCTTTAGTTTTGATCAGCTCCTACTAGAGCTAAGTAGGGAATTATGACCAAAGGTTTCATTATTTTTAAGAGATGAAGCTGTGTTATGGAAAACAACTCATAACCCAGATACAGAGCCGGGTGACTATCTTGTGTTACTTGCTTCTTTTTAAAGCTCATTTATGCTAAGACAGGGTCTCCAGATTACCCCCATTTTGAGCCACCTTGATGAAAAACCGTCTCAGGAACATGTATCCGCTGTCATTGTCACAGTCTTGTCAGAAGCAAAGTTTTATTTCAAAAGGAGAAATAAAAATCTCACCGTCCAGCTCTGCGTGCAATCCCCAAACTCGGGGATTATTGCCTTGCCTGAAACTCATTTCAACTCTCAGCTAAAAGAAACTCCGCAAGACAAAACTGCTTTGTCTCCGCAGCAAGAATGATAAGAAACGGGGCGCCGCAGTCAGAGTTTTTTAACGAAAAATACATTTTTTTTGGAAGGAAGAAACACAAGCCGAGCGACAGGAGCGGGCGGGGGGCGGGGCGGGCTCGTGAGCGCACCAATCAGCGCCCGCCGCGCTGCTATAAAAGGGGGCCCCGCCGGTGCAGCGGTAGCCGCGTCCGCGCAGCGTCGTCATGTCCGAGAGTGCTCCGGCCCCCGCTGCCGAGGCAGCGCCCGCCGTCCCGGTCCCTGCAGCTAAGGCTGCCGCCAAGAAGCCGAAGAAGGCGGCAGCCGGCTCCAAAGCCCGCAAGCCCGCGGGGCCCAGCGTCACCGAGCTCATCACCAAGGCCGTGTCCGCCTCCAAGGAGCGCAAGGGGCTCTCCCTCGCCGCGCTCAAGAAGGCGCTGGCTGCTGGAGGCTACGATGTGGAGAAGAACAACAGCCG